GAGGCGTCATCTCTTTTTAAGGGAGGTGGTGGGGGTGGGACAGCCTGGACAGGGAGCATGTGGGGAGGGGGCTGCAGGCACCAGACCTTCTGGTGGAGAACACTCAGCAAGCAGGGAGGTGCCCAGGTAACACCAGCTGTCGCCCCAAGCCTGTGACACCCTGCCCCGGATGACCAGTCTACAGGGTTGACCTTCCTGAGGAACGAGGCCCCGATGCTCTGCTGCGGGGCACCCCTTGCCCACATCCCACGCTGGAGGTTAAAGGAACTGCCATCTCAGCACCTCAGCCCCCTGGTCCTGCCCTGCAGTCGCTGGCACTAGGCGGGGGCAGATCCTGGGCCACAGTTGGTGCCACATGGTGGGGATAATTGATGAAGGCCCAGCCCTCCATCGCCGTCTCCAGCCTGCCTCTCTGGAAACTCTATATTTTCCCTTTAATTATAGCCCCTGCCGTCCCCTCCACAGCCCCACCCACACCGCTCATCCTGGCTGCCCACGGCCTACGTGGCTCCCTCCCCTTCTCTTCTCCTGGTCTTTTTTTTCCCTTTGCCTTCGTTGCACAAAACCAGCTGGGGGAGGGCGTGGAAAGGGGCGGGGGGGGCGGGGGGCAAAGGAATCTTGGATGGTTTGGGGGAGGAGGGACTCCCCGCTTCCACGTTTGCAGCTCTGGAGCGATGGGGGCGGGGAGCTCTGGGAAAGGATAGGAATTGATGGGCATTGCAAAGGGACCCCCATTGCCTTCTCCTGGGCCCACAGATTCTGGCAGGACCAGGACCTGGACAGGGTTGGGGTTGGGGTGGAACGCTGCTGGGAGGTGGGGACATGGAGAAGAAAGGACACTGTCTTCTAGAGGTACCGTTCCCAAATATAGCCTGTTGTTCTTGGGGTCCCCACATCCTCTCAGGGTGCCCAGGTGAGTCTCTCCTGGTGCGAGAGGCAGAGAGCAATGCCCTAGGTTTTCAGGAAAGACGCTGGACATGGGAAACAGCCTGTAAAATAAGGTTACTCACCCTCCCTGCAATTTCACCCCAAACCCCCAAATACACGTCTCCCCCAGACTTCCACATTCTCCCCTGTACCCTCAACCCTCAGTCCAGGTACAACCAGGGACAGGACTCCATGCAGCTCCCACAGGAGCGCCCTGTCCTCAGGGAGGTGGCCTCCCCCTGTGTTCCCTCCTGCTTCCTTGTGCTGCATCCCCCCCCTCCCCCCAGGGCCACAGCAGACCCTAACCCAGGGCGCTTTCCTAAGCCACCAGTCGCCACAGCCTTTCCCAATGTAAACTCACCCCCCTGGGCTGGAAGGGTCCTGGCAATTGCCCACCCAAACCGTGTTGCCCCCTCACTCAGCACCAAAGCTTCTCTCTGAAGAGACCACCAAGTCCAATTTCTCAGCCAGGGCCTCGGCCTCCCCACCCTCTCTCTCTCACTGTGCCTGGGGTCTGGGAGCGCATGCTTGAGTCTGGGAGCGAGTGCTTGAGTCTGGGAGCTGCGGGCATGGTAGAAGGACCGACATTCTTGAAAAACCCCTCTCGCCAGCATCCCTCCAAGTAGCTGATTCTTAATATCTATAAAGGCGTCTCTAACGTGTTCCCCAAATATTCCTAAGCTCCATACCCAAGCCACACCAGAAGACACCCCGAAACAGGCACATCTTTTTAATTCTCAGGTTCTCCTGTTTTAGGGGGGGTCCCAGCCGGCCTCTTCATACCCATCCCTTCGCTCTTGCCACGGCTGGGTGTGGGGGGTGCGTGAGGCATGGCCAGGAGGACCCTCTCCCAACCACCCCCAATCTTTCCACCTTTGGGAGGCTCCCACCCTGCTCTCCAATTCCAGTTCTTCCAGATTGGGGGTCCCAGGAAGAAAGCAGAAGGGGCTCCCCTGCCCACTCTTGAGCCTACACAACATTGAGGACCTAGCCGCACCCCAGCAGTAGCATCTCTAGCCCGGGCTGGCTTGGGGGGCTGGGGAGGCAGAGCTGCAAAGGGGGGAGATGTGCGGTGGACTCCCCTTCTCTTCCCTCCTCCTCCTCCTCCTCTCCGTTCCAACTCCCAAATTGGGGGCCGGGCCAGGCAGCTGTGATTGGCTGGGGGACGGGCAGCCGGCTCCCCCTCTCCTAGGGGCCGGGTTCCTCCCCACTCGCCGTCGGGATGGTATAAAAGGGGCCCGGGCCACCGGTCGGAGCAGACGGGAGTTTCTCCTCGGGGTCGGAGCAGGAGGCACGCGGACTGTGAGGCCACGCATGAGCGGACGCTAACCCCCACCCCAGCCGCAAAGAGTCTACATGTCTAGGGTCTAGACATGTTCAGCTTTGTGGACCTCCGGCTCCTGCTCCTCTTAGCGGCCACCGCCCTCCTGACGCACGGCCAAGAGGAGGGCCAAGAAGAAGACAGTAAGTCCCCAACTTTGCAGAGTCCGGGGCTGCTTGGTGTCGCAACCTGCGCCGGGTCCCGGGAATCCGCCACCGAAACGGAGACTCGGGGGGCTCCGGGGACTCGGTGATGGAAGGGGGGTGCGGAGGGCGCTTCTCTGGCACCCTGGGAGGGAGGGGAACGCACCCTGAGTGGAGAGGGTGGGGATGAACGCCCCCGGGAGCGGGAGTGGAGGATGGAGCGCCACTTGCGTTAGCACAGGCGGGGGTCCTGAGCGCGCACGGTGGGGTACCACCGGGGAAAGGGGGGTCTGAGCGCGGGACGCGGGGAGAGTACGTCGAAGATGGGATGGGGGCGCCGAGCTAGGCATTTGGAG